CCCCCCCAAAGAGCTCTGTTGCAAACCATTAGCAACGCTTCCTCCTGACAAGTCCACAAGAACATTGCACTTCCGGCAAACTCCTTCAGAGGCTGCCAAAGTCCATCTCATGTCTGCATGCAGGGTATAGGAGCACAGGACACCTGGAACATGAGCAACCCAGCAGCAGACAAAGCACAAGTGTTTCAAATGCCTTTTTGAGTGCTGTGATTATCCCAACTTCCTCCTCAGTAATAGTCCTATTGGTACGATTTGGAGCCAAGCCAGCTTGCCAGCTCCCCATAGCCGGTTTAAACAGCTCAGCACTCTGGCCAGGACTGCTGTGTGGGAGCTGCCAGGCTTCTTAGGCAAGCAAAAACTTCAGCTAGATCCCTTATCACCTTTCCTGAAGTCTTTGCTGTGATCAGCATCAAGTGACAGGGAGTATTTCCATGAGAAACAAGGAGCATGGAAACAAGGACAGCATAACATTGAGTATTTAAATTGTAATAGTATATTACCATCTATCAAAAATAGCATCTATTAAAAAAATGGCATAGATATTTGAATCTTTATTTTCCTGTATCAGTAGTCCTTTCTCCCAACAGGAGCTTCAGAAATACAGGTATTTTCTGTTAAGAGAATCTTCATTATAATCAGATACAAGACATGAAAACTTTTCAAAAAAAAGGTAAAAGCCTACAGCATGGTAGAGCTAGAGGATTGTACCAGAATAAAGTTAGTAGAGTTCCAACCGCCTATACTGCGTCTTCAGTCTATACTTTTCAGTGAGCTACACAGAAATCTGTATTTTTCTAGATTAAAAAAACAAAGACACACAGAGACACATCACCTCTTTACCCTTGGGGTCTTTCCCCATCACCATGTTACAGTCCTCCAGGAATCAAACTAGCACAAGTTGTCATCTTTGATGGTTCCTTTCATTCTTTCCTTTTCCTCAACTAGTCAAAGAGCTGACAAATCCTTGCCAAAGGCAGCTCCAGTCCACCTGAGTTTTAGCTGATGAGGTATTTTGTCCTCTCCTTTCTTAGTTCAGTTCTAAGCACTTCATTAAAACTCAGTGCCAAACAAACAGCATCCAACTAGCACCTTTCATGTTTCACAGCCTGCTCACATTTCCTGTCACTGAAGCAGCACCAAAATCCCTGTGCTCAGTCTTCTGCAAAGGAAGCAAGGGAAGGCAAGAGAAATACCTTTCCCATACAGGAAACTGCACAGGAACTCAAACTGTCTTTGAAAGTTATGGGCTAAAGCAATATTCTCTATAAACAGTCAATGAGGAAAAAGGTATCTGTCAGCATTTTCAGCTGAAAGGGGAAAAACGTAGTGCATAGGGTAAACAGACAGGTAGGAAACATGCTAAGACAATTTGTTACTAGTAGTTGGCTGAAGGCACTATTTCTATGGGAAAAGGCAGTTTTCCCCACTGACTTCAGTCCCTATCCCTTTTGTAGGGAGGGAGAACACAACCTGCATGTGGAAAACCCAAGCAATTTTACAGGACTGAGCAGACAATACTCCAACACTTACCTGTTTTCAACAACGTACACTTTCAGCCATTTGTTAAAGCGATAGTGAAAAGATATGTAGGCAGTACAGGTAGCCCAACCTTGTCATCAAGTAGTAGTTTTCATTGTCATACAGCTACTTTTTCCTTCTTCATAAAGGTTTCAATACAAAAGGGCTCATGTGATGGGCAAAGACCAAAAAACCCGCCCAAAAACAAAAACCAAATAGCAATCCTATACAATAGCAGGAATTATTAGCATCCATCTTCTGAAAAGTGAGACCTTCAAAGGCTATGTGCCTTTGTATACAGAAAACTTGGAAGAAAGCAGACATGAAAAGGAAAACGTAAATTAAAAGTTAAAACTTTTATTTTGTTAAAGTGTCCAGTCTTACAAGTCTTTCAGAGAAAACAATAGCAGCCTAAGGTGGAGGTGCTGTTGATCAGCTGCCCAAACATAATCCCACACAGAGTGAATGTCACAATTCTGAAATGCTACACCAAGTTGCAGGTCTCAGATGCCAAATCACATCCCTGCTAGTACACTTACAAAAGTAGAGTGAACAATGTTTAAGCCATGAGAAGAGTCCTCATTAAATGGACACATTTGTCAGCTGTAAAAGATGACTCAGATCCATTAGCCCTCTTCTCATTAGGTTTCCTCAAGGAAAAAATTCCCCCATTGTTCAAGAAACTTCCTTTAAAGGAGAGGAGGGAAGGGAAGGGTATTTCCAGAAATCCCAATCCTTTCTTTGTGCGAATTCTATTTCGCCTTAAGTATTGGGGTCCAGTATTCAAGTATAGCTGCTTTTGAAAGGGGATTTCAGAGGTGAGATTTGTGGAGAATTTCACACTGCCAAAGCAGTTTAATGGTGCCACTGGAGCTGGAGAGATGGAGGGGAAAAAGGTCCAAGTCCAACAGTGTTCTTGTCCAATCCAAGTTCTGCTTCACGCACTGTTAGAATGCGGGTAGGACAAAAAGCTCATTCTCTTTTGGCACATGTAGTGTTTAGTAAAGCTACAGGATCCACTGTGTGTCCAACAGTGGAAGAAGGTATTTGTCATTTTAAATGCAATGAGGAAAGAAAATTAAACTGAGGCTTAAGTGATAATTCTACTAGTCAGCATTCATTCAGCCTTACCTTAAGTAACATTTCAGAGTAGACGATGCTACTGTTTAAGGTACGACATTTTGTTCTTCAGCAAGAAGAGTCACACCAACAGCTGAGAACTCTCTCCATGGTTGAAAGGAAAAGAATCTGAGGGAACAGCTGCCTTCAGGCAGAGACTATTATAAATATACTAGAAGGAGCGAGGGTCTCAGTGGGGAAGTTATTTTAATGTATCTCTAGAGAAGGCACGCCAGCTATTAATGAAGAAATATTACCCTTCCTCTGAAGGAAGGCTTAACAAAAGTTTCAAGAGAACTCTAAACAGGCAAGTCCCTCTCCAAAGTGGAAGTGAAAAAATGGCTTGAAAAGGAAACGTCAGAGCTGTTGACCCAATATTTGAGCCTCCTCCACCCCTGCCATATACCTCATCCTTTGCAAAGGATGTTACTTTCAGAATTCCTAGAATCATTTTAGAACAAAAAAAGACCTCAGTGTCGTTCAGCAAAGAAAGCTACTTAACACTATTTATGGTAATAAACACCAAGAACTTGCTTCAATTAAAATGAAGCAAGCTAAATGGAGTGTATAAGTGGCAATAAAAAAGTGAGGTAGGACATTCTCAGGAAGTGACAATACCAAAGAACAGCACATCATGACAGACAACTGTAACAGCTATGTAATAATTCAGACTGGCAGAGTAAATTAATTCCAGCTGCTGAATTAACTGGGGACCAAATGGTAAATTCAGAAAAAGACACTGAAAACAGGAAAAACTTCAGCTAACATTCCAGTGCATAGTTTCAGAGATACAGCAAGATTTAACACCTTAATCAGTTGGTATCCCTTGCCTTATAGTTAGTTCAAATCTATTAGTTGCAACCTATTGTGTATCAGGACATTTAGCATGAAAGGTGGAATCCCATTTTACTAGCCTTGGTTCCTAACATGAGGTTAGTGTGCTTGTGATCTACAGGGGCCCCAAGGATTTGTTCAGCTCAGCAGTGCTGCTACAGAAACGGTTTTTAATTCAAGTTGTTTTACAGTTTAGCAGCTAATAGATGATCTGGCTTGCTACCATGATAGTCCTTTGAAAGGAGAGTCCAGAAAACAAGACACTGACCAGACTGCTGATTGTCTGCTTGAGTAGAACAATCCTCCTGCCCTTCTCCCCCCACTCCATGCAGAGATCAGTGTCAGGAAAACTAAGCCTCAGTATGATAGTGACTAAAGGAAGAAATAACAGATCAATTGAATACTTGCAAATAAGGGAGGACTGTTGATGTAAATTCATCCTGCAAAGATTGAGCAATCCAGACAGTATGGGAAGTGAGGAGTGACTCACTCTGCTGTGGGTTGAATTTGTAGGAGACCTGTGCAGTAAACATGCTCAGGAGCTCAATTTTGACCTTATCCTTGAAAGTTTCAAGCTTCTTCCATCTCATGATAGGACTGATACTCTGCAATCAGTATCTATTTGGGGGAAGAGGAAGAAACATAGCAAGAGTAAAACGTATATAGCACTTTCTCGCAGAGTAGCAATGTATTTTTGTACTTGTGTTTCCAGTGCAACAAGTTATCAGACTGCTCCTTCCAGTCTTGCCACACAGGAAGCTATCTCTAGCTTTAGCAGCCGCTGTTGAAGTATTTGAGCTTGGAATATTTGAAGAGCAGCAAAAAGCTAGTGTTTCCATGCATGGTCAATACTGACCTGTCTCACAATTGCTCTGTAGAACTCTGTCAGGCCTAGGGCAGTCTCTACTCAGCAAGCTAGCAGGAGTAAAGCTCTATTATTGGTAGGAGTCAGAAACAGTCTCTCACCTCTAGCAAAATAGCCTAGGAGACTTTTAAGCTTCTAGAAGCACTAGGGCATACTTTCAGGAGCTGCTTATAGAAACCTCTAAGCTAGCTGCATAAAGTTAGTTGTATGATTAAGAACACATCTAGAAGCAAGAGCCAGAGCACTCATCTACAGTGATCTAGGCCTACAGGAGAAACCCCTGCTCCTGTAAGCTAGGTTAAAATTCCTCGAGGTGTGCTGCCCCTTTCAGCCCTGCCTACATTAAAATACATGTTGCATTATAACCAGATTACCCAATGGCCTTGAACACAGTATAATTATTATCAGAGTTCAAGCCTCTACTCAGTTGTCACCACTCTCCAGCACTTTCATCTGGCACAGATTAAGGAAAAGGCATTTCTTTCACCATCCAAACCACCCCTAGGCCCACCATGAGGAACTGGATGGAAAGCAGTCTTACTGTACCTAAGCCTGAAGCCTTCTTTACTTAAGCAGCATTAAGTCCACCTAGCCATTTCTGTCTTGTGTTGATCCAAAATACTAGTACAAATGGAATGTGTCCAACTCAAGCAGCATCAGCATCAACACTTCCAAACCCCAGTGATTGCTCTGATACAATACATTTTTGAATACCTTTTTTCCTCATCCTTTTACCAGTGGCCCCAACTCTAATAAAAATCTCAATGCACTAACCCTGTTAGGAGCAGGCACAAGGGTTTTTACAGTACCTTGCCTGCTAGATAAATAAATTTATTATTCTGTTGGACTGTTTAAACTTTATGATGAATGGACTAAGGAAGGCAGAATTTACATCGCTTAAAAGCAGCTTTATAAACAGATTTCCTAGACTTTAATGTAGCTTTATTTAAGCATCTGAACATTAACAAATCCAGAGCCCAGTTAACATTGTCCATGGTTTCAGCATGTTTAGTGTGTAAATTTCATATATTACATCTGATGAAGCAAGCCATAGTGTGTCCTATTGCCCAAACATCCAAGGATACCCAAGATTTGGTAAGCCAGGACTCCAACTGGCAGCTTGCAGGGAACCAGCCTGGGGATGGCTGCCACCTTCCCCTTTATAACTCATGGGAGGCCTCCAAACACTTCATGCCTCAGCTTGCAGCACTCCCACCTCAGAGCCAACCTGTTGGCTTAATGAGGAGTATTGCAACCTGGACCTGCAGGTCCATGAGCCCCCTCTTCCTTTGGAGGGAAAAAAAGGCAGATTTAGGGTGTTCTGTTGGCATCCTTTAACCACCCCACCTTGAGGACATGATTATCAGTAGCTATTAGACAGTTATCTACCTCTGTCAATGCAGAAGAGGTTTTGGTCAGACTATATCAAACAAGTCAGACTTGTTTCAAACTGCTCTGTCCCAGGAATCTAGAGGAGCTCAGTCCATAAAGGATTCTCCTATTGCTCCTTAGCACTGGGTGAAGAGGGGAGGAAATAGGAAGACAGGTTTCCTTTCCAGCACCAAGTTCAATCAGCATTAGCCTCTTATTTAGGAGAAGAGGTGTAACAGGAACTGACAGCCATTCAAGTGAAAAAGACAACAGAAAAGATCAAGCAGCTCTGTAGATTGCTTTCATGAAAGATACTGGCAAAGCATCTAACAACTTAAAGGGGGAGGAGGCGGTGCAGAGGACACCTGAGCATTCTTCTTTACTATAAACACCAACCCCAGGAGATGCACTGGCCTAGTCACATCCTTATATTTGATACATGACAAAATACCAAGAACTTAAAAGTAGTTTTAAAAACTTTAAAAGCCAAGATCTTGAAGCAACTTGATGCTTCTGGCAGAGTAAATTAGACAGCCTTACTGCTTTTAATCCAGATCTTATCTTCCATTTGAACTACAACCACCCATTTCACAAAAAACAGAACATATACAAGCCTGTTCTGGATAAAGCTCTGGAAATATCTCAGTCAGTGCCTCCAGCACAAATGTTTGGAGAAATATGCTACGTGATCTACTTGTCAGTACAACTGACCTGAAGCTGTTAAAATAGTGCAATCTCAAATGAGCAGTGGACATCAGGGGGTTTTGGTTCTTTGCCTAGGGGCAGAGGGGAAGGTGTGGAATACAAGGGGGAAAAGACAATTAGTAACAAAAAGGGATCCTGCATCCAAGCTGACGTTTGACATAAATTTACCCCACCCAAAATCCCAATGCCAGCATCTAGATAAAAATCAGCTGTCTGTATCCCATCTCACCCCACTGTGGGGCCTCACTGACTGAACTGCTGACTTAGGAGGAACAGTATTAGGTGTCACCAAGATTGAGGTTCAAGAGGTTTCCTGAACTCTTGGTCTTTACTTGCAGGACACTGAACACTCAGTCTCTGACTATTATGAGCCCCACTTGGGGTGATGCAGCAATCAAACATATTTTTGCCTCTAGTTAGAGGCCATTTCCCTTTACCAGCACCATCTACCTCACCCTACTACCTGTCCAGAAGAACAGCAGCACCTCTTATTCCTACTGGCCCTTGCTCAGGAGCCACCCAATCTGTCTTGATGCTCTTCCTGATCCCAAGCTTCCCCCATCCTGCATCTCAGGCAAGAATCAGCCTCCTTCAGAGCCATGTTTGTTCAGGGACTCCTTGGCTAGTCTGGTAGTTGCTGGAGGGAGGGGGAAGGGGAAGACGTTGGGAAAAGGGGACTGGAATGGCCTTTTGTTTCCTTCTAGTTGGTCAGAGGTTTCTCCCCTCCTTTCAGGGGCTCAGGCTTGTTCCTTGTCTGCCCTCCACAGCCGCTCCTTGACCTCCAAAGGTAAAGTGTTGAATAGGTCCTCCTCCACAACAAGCCCACTGCGCTTCAGCAGAGGACATTCTCCCAGCTCCACTGGCAGGCACTCCAAGCGGTTTCCCCGCAGCTCTATCTGCGATAGATTTGTCAGCTCCCCAACCCGGGATGGGAGTGACTGCAGCACATTGTTCCCTAGGTTCAAGGTCCTCAGCTTCTTGCACTGGAAGAGCTCTGGTGGGAGACTCTCAATCTGAAAAGAGGAAAAATCAAATCACAGGCAAAGTCACCAGCAAACAGGACACGTTCACAAGAAAGAGACAAACCCACACAATGCTTCAAGACATACAGAGCACTACTTTTCAGTCATCTGCTTCTTTCTTAAGAGAGTTCCTACTTTCCACCAGAAGGACTGTTCCCAAAAATCACTAGTTTAAATAAAAGTCACTAGTTCAAGAGATAACATATATTCATGTTAAGGCCTTTTAATAGTCCACTCCTCCTTCCAGTGAATTTCACGGAATACACCACAGTTAAGGTTCAATAAACACTAGGCTATGAACTAGATGCATCCATTCAGGATGCTTCTTAGTTCAAAGTTTCACCACGAAGGCTATCATTTCTCTTTAAACACAACGGCACCCTTTTCTAACTTGAATTATGCAATGATATCAGTCACTGCTAAATTAGACCATAGTTCATTCTGAATGAGATGGAGTCCAGGGAAAAGCCAAGATAATGAGACAAGACCAATTACGGACAATTCAATCATTGTTATTTGTATATCAAGTGTTATGCAAACAGCAACATGCAATTAAACAATCACAGACTCTTGAAAATAACAGCTATTTAAGGGACAAGGATTGGTTTAGGAAGGAAACAGCATGCTAGAATATGGCCTGCTTTCCAGAATGGTACGCTGGACCAGCCAACTCCAGAAGCATCTGTGTGCTAAGACCACTGTGCTAGCAGAGGACAATCGAGATGTTTCCCAGCCTTGGGAAACGCCAGGCTACCAGCCCATGTGTTTCCCACTGTCACTGGGAGTAACCAGGCTGTCAGATCCCTAAAGGTAATTGCCTGTCCATGCCTGGGCAGGCTGCAATAAGAGCAGCTTAACTATTTCACTGGGTCCTCACCATCTTTTGTTTCGGAACACACTGGAACACAGGCTGCTCCAGCCTTCCTGTTGCATTAGTGTCTTTGCACAGAGAAATGGGTGGTGCCACAGGGTGCTGCAGAAAAACGGAGCTGCCTCAAACTCCTTTTCATCCAACAAAGGCTCCACCCCAAGACTGCTGAGGATACACTGCAGATTAACCCTCAGGAAGCTGTGTTAGGGAGGCTGCCAGAAGACAAACGGTACAGAATCATGCAAGTTCTGAACAGTATCTTAAGACAGTCTTTAAAGCTCCCTCCACTTTGCTCAGGGCCATCCTCAGAAACCGCCCGCATCAGCCACACTTGCCTCGAGAAAAAAAAATATTGGCTTTTAACCTAACATGAAATATGGGCCATACCAGGAGGTTTACCAGTGTTTAACACACCCATATGAACAGATGCACAGCCACATAGCCTGCTAGTGCTGGGAAAACTGACTGAACAGCTATTAAGTTGACTGGCTGCTGCTTGTCTGCTCAGCTACTCTTCAATGGTGCAAAACAGACTTGGAACTTTAGATATTAACTTTAAAATGCTGATTGGAGTTCCAGAACCCTATTTAATACTGAACTGCATCAGAAATTAAGCGTTGGATTAGAGAGTGCTTCCCTCATGTAAAGCCAAACAGTACTGGAGGCTGCTTTGTTTGCCTCTGACAGGCAACTTGACAGCATTCAGTTATGGATACAGCTTGCCAGTAGCAGTAAGGGTCTTGATTTATGGCAATGAAAGCTAGGACTGCTCAGAGGCAGTTGCTGCATATTCCCAGAAGGCCTCACAAGCCACTAATCGGATCTGGCTGCTCTTTGTACAATTATATTAGAGCCTTTTGCAACCTCAGGTGGTAAACAAAAAACAAATATCTTGTTATCACATTTCTAGCAGAAGAGCCTCCCAGGAATTTGCAGACAGAATGAATACAAACTTCAATGAGACATTCAGCTTAACGCACAGACTGAGTTGTGACACATGGTAGAGGTCTCCTTAATGCCAAACACAGGAACCAAGGTGCAGGAAACAATCCTCAGATACAGTTTGCTTTAAAATAAACCCCACACAAGCCAAGAAACCACTCCTGCAGTGGTTAGACAGCACACCTGATCATCTCTTCACAGAAGGGACCTCTAGGGATCATCTAGTCCAACCCCCCTGCTCAAGCAGGGTCACCTGGAGCACGTTACCCAGGATTGTGTCCAGATGACTTTTGACTATCTCCAGGGAGGGAGACTAACTTCTAGATCCCTTCTAACTGTTGTCCTGCTTTCAAAGTGCAAGAACTTAACCCAGCTGGGATTACCCAAGAAAACCCATAGCCACAATTTACACATTTCAAGGTGCCATCCTATTCCCTACTCTGGAAGTCAGGGCATTGCCACAGCACACAAATTCACCTGACTGCCAATTAACACACCAGGTGTAGTTCACTCTATACTGAATAATGACACTGCAGAAGACAGTTTTGCTCTCTCCAAATTCACTCTTGTAGAACTAGACAATGCATCTTAGACATGATAGTTTAAGAACATTTTTGTAAGTCTGCCTGTACGCAGCTTCTCAGAATGTGTTTGAGACTGAACTACAGGAGTATTCCCCACAAATGCACAGTACTATATACAACCACGTGAGCCAGACACACATTGCCTAGACGGCCACCATTATGGTGTTCGTACACAGCTCAAGTATATAAGCGCGTACTACTAGATTGAGACTACAGTTTCTCAGACCTCTCTTTTAAGCCTAAAGCCAGTATCAAAGTAGAGAATATAAACTTTCACTGCAGAGAAACAACAGCCAAAGGATTTATGAAGCATCCTCCAGAGTGCCACTTAACAGCTGTTTCGCTGTTAAGAGAGGAAATGGTACAGAACAAGGGGTGTTTGAAAAATAGAATTGCCCTTGGAGTTACTTGCAATGTTTCACCTTAGATAAGCTTTTGTTTCTCTTTGAAGGTGAAAAGCAAGGCTGGAGTATTTCACACTCCATTGTAGCATGTTTAATCACACAGATTACAGAAGTGCCAGGGTTACTTCTACTCACACAAGCAACTCTCAGCTCCCTGCTCTCTTACCCTGTTGGCTGTCACAGCTAAGTTCTGCAGATTTTGAAGAAGTCCAATGTCAGCCGGTATGGAAGTCAAGTTGTTGTGGCTAAGATCTAAATACCGAAGTTTCCGGCAATAGAAAAGCTGGGTGGGGATCTTCTCTATCTTGTTACGATTCAGGTAAAGGCGCTCTAAATTGGTGAGGTTGCCTATTTGCATGGGGATGTAGGCAATGTGGTTGTACCACAATTTAAGGCAAGTGAGACGATGCAAATGCTGGAAGCTGATGATTTCTTCAATGGTCTTGAGGTTATTGTCCTTCAGGTCTATCTCCTGGAGGTTGTGGAGGCTGAAGATGGAATGAGGAATGCGTTCCAAGTCACAACGGATCAACTCCAGCTCTGTCAGGTTGACCATTTTCTTAAGGCTGTTCAGGACAATGAGCTTGGTGCCTTCGTTGTTGATGGATAACTTCTGAAGATGCACACCAACGTCTGTCACCACCTGTGGCAGCTTAGTGAGGTTACTCTTGAGCCTCAACACCTTCAGCCTCTTCAGCTCCCTCAAGCCATCTATCACAATGTACCGGTTGTTTTCAGCACTCAGATTCCCTGTCAGATGAAGCTCCTCTAGTGTCTTCAGGCTATAAATCCAAAGAGGAATCTCCTTGATGTCTGTGAACTTGATGTGGAGAGATTTCAAATTCTCCCTCAAGAAGGCAAGAGCTGGAGCCTCAATTTTGGCAGCTGTATGGTAGAGCCACAGCTCCTTAAGGCTGGTGAGCTGGGCAATGCTCGGGGGAATAGTGACATCAGGGATAAGCTCCAGTTTCAAGACCTCCAGCTCAATGAGGTCAAAGACTGTGTCGGGTATGCCGCTCAACATGAAGAGATGCAACTCCAGCTTATCCTGGGAGTTCTTGGTGATCCTCTGGCGCAGCTTCTCCAAAGTCCACTCATTGTTAAGGTTCAGCTGCCGCAGTTTGTTCTCACTCACCTCTGACAGAAAGACAGCAAAGCGCTTGGAGTACAGGGGGTCATACTGGTCAATCAGGTGCAGCATAAAAGCAAAGTCATTTTTCACATCAGGAATATCACTGTAGCTGCTCTCCTCCCGGATGGACTCAAAGGAATATTTCTTAAGCGATCGCCTCAGCATCCACCAGAGCGTATACATGCAGATCAAGCCATAGACTATCACTAAGCTTATGTAGAAAGATGCCAAGATTTTGAAGAGAGTGGCCAGAGGATGAGCACAGCGGTACATCCGGTAGCCAGTCAAGCTCTCAATGTCCACTTTACAGTCAACATCAAATGTTATGTTGTTGACATAGTAGACAGTATAGCAGATGATCAGAATGAATTTGATCACTTTGATGATAGTTTGTCTCATGTAGAGGCGGTATACTATGTCTCCTTCTTCCACATGCGTGCGGAACTTCTTCACTTTCTCAAACAATGCTTTGGCCTGTTCCCCTTCCTTCTTGTCCAAGACACCTGTCTCAGATCTGTCCACAATGCCTTGCTCGATTCGAGACTTTGTTCTTTGCAACATGGGAACAGTGGCTTCCACATCCTCACTGACCGTGGAGGATTTCTTGTCCATGGAGCCATTCATTTTCCCAAAGGCTGGTTTGGTATCGCTCTCTTCCACCACTGTCTCAGATAGTGCCCTCGTTGTCCATGGAGAGTCAAAACACTTCAGCAGAATAGACACAAAATGCTCCAGCTTGGAGCTGGTCCTTGGGAATTTGAACCAGAAGTTGCTACAAGCCAGGAAAATGAGAGTATGTAGCAGCACTAGATAAGGAAAATACTTGGCAAACCAGTGAAGGCGGTTCTCATAACACACAGCATCCACATAGTTATACTGGTGCCGGTCCAAATCGTATCGGATCCCTGTAGGCCCTGCATCAGTAGAGGGAACAAGACTAGAGTTATAGTAAGTACGCTCTGGGGTTACAGCTGTCCAACCTCTGATCGAGTCATTGCAAGCGTCTTTGGTTATCCATTTACAGGGCAAACAAATCATTTTATCCTGGGTGACCTGAAGCGTCCCTCCAAACACAGCAATCATGAGCATCACTATGGAAATGTAGTCCGTGAAGACATCCCACCATGGCTTCAGGATGCGGTATGCTGGCTGAGTGTCAGCAAAGTAGCGCAGTTCAGTGACTGGAATCATGGCTCACCTGAAAAGAAACCAGAAGAAGGCATTACTGGCTTAAACTATTTTCCTCCACTTTTCAAGAGGGCTCATGTTTTATTAAGTCTGGCACAGCAAGACTGGAATTAGGACAGTTGGAGACAAAGGAATGAGGCTACCTGGTGAGCAATTTGTTACAGCTGAGGCTGTGAAGTTAAGTTTGTTGTCTTCTTCCCTGACAGATGGGCTCTGTCACAAGCCATCAGAACTGGCACCTCTCATTAGCAGTCTGTGGGATAGAAGACATTCACACTTAAGGAAAGCTCCCAAGATGGGCTTAAACTGTCCTGCCAGGCTGGTATTTGGAAGTTTCCCCTGCTATTGTATCCAGGGATTATATTTCAGAGATGAAGGAATTTGCCAGAGTTGTTAGAAAAGACCAAATTCACGCACAGCAGAACATACCTATCCTGAGCTTTACTGTTTTACAGAGCTAGAAAATAATTCCACATTGACGTTGCTCTCAAACTGCAGAGTTGAAGGTGAAGATTTACCTGCACTATAGCTGCATGTCCTAGAGCTACTTCACTGATACACTTCAACATCACATGGGATAAAACAAGCTTTAAAGCAAAACACTAAATACAGTTATCTAATATGCTGCCTCTGCCTTCCATGTAAGGAGTTTTGGCTTTTCCCCCTTTACGTTAATTCTCCAAAGAGAAATTAGTTTCTTGTCCTGTCATAGATCCGATACTGAAATCCTGCAACCTCTGCTCTCTTCTTTCTTGCTCCTATCTACTTCAGAAGTATAGGAAGGGGGAGACAAACTTAAAATGAGATCAACTTCCCTGGCCAACCACTCCCACCTTCCAAGAGTTCACTCCAACTGGGATTTAAGCCTCACGAGGGAGCTCAAAAGGTTCTGGGAAGCAGAGACCTTATGGCAGGACTTGTTTTTTTTCCTTCAGCAATTCAGACTTCCAGGTAGAACTTTAAGCATCATCTTCTACAAACTGGAGAAAGCCTGGAAACCTGACTGATCCACAGATAACTGAGCTCACAAAGTTTCCCCCAGATCTGCCAGGCAACACAAGCCAAGACCATGAAGCCACTGTGATTAGAACAAGTTACAGCAAAAAGCAGTATCACATCACGCTTGCTAGCAAAGTTCAGGAATAGGACCAGGACTAATCTTTCAGTCATTTTGAGAAGCCCACCAACTCAACTCTAACAGAGCAAGTGCCAAGCTAACACTTGGGCAGCCAGTACTGACAAGTCTTAGGGGACTGCAGGCTTGAAAGCAGACTTTTGGTATACCACTGCCTAGTAAGAAGGTTTCCTTGACAAATAGGGTGCCCACACTGTCTGCTTTTGTGGAATTTAAGTCTGTATTTAAAATGAACTTCCAGCAGAGAACTACAAAGGAAGCCCTTCCCAATATGAATTCAAAAAGCAACACATTCCCTAGAGGCTAGGTACAGAACTCTGCTCCCTGCTTTGCTGCTTACAACAATAGATGGTAAAATGCCAAGTTGGACTTTATGCTACTCGGGAAGGCTGCAAGCAGCTAGAAAGCAGTAGACAAAAAGATGACAGCCATCCCTAAGGAACCATTTGCCCTTCTGCCCATCCAGTTCCAATACTATATTAGTCCATTACAAGACACTGATTGGGGTGATTTTCTCCATGCTTTTTTGGAGAAAGGAATTTTGAAAGACAATCAGGCAATGTTTGTTTTGGAAGTTCAGTAAGACAAGGCATAAGAATAACTAGATCTATCTATTTATCAGCCAGTCAACTCACACAATCTTGGCACAGCATGCAGAAGCAAGGGATGAAAATAGCTATATACAGCACTGTCAGAAACAACTGTCATCTTGTTGGACCAGAGCTGCAGAGGACTAGGCACGCCAGCCACTTTGTTATGCAGAATGGGCTGCATTGATCAGATTAGGACAAGAGGACTACACATTCACAGCAACAGGAAAGAACAGGCAAAACAATCAACAGCACCTGAGCTGCTAGAATGAGAGAGAGAGGCATGACTGGCTCTGTTGCTAGCTTGCTGCAAGGCCCTCAGCAAGGAGCTGTTTGCCTCAGCCTTCTTGTCTGAAGACACCCATCGTATGGGGATAGAGTCCATTTGCAAGACAGCTTTGGGAAGTGCTGCCTGTACATACTACACAAATACTAAATCCAGGATAAAAAGGGTTTCATAAGTTCTCCTTACTCCCCCTGCACACCATGACAGTTAGAATGAAGTTGGATGTTAAAGGATCTCTAAACTACAGTTCCTGGTAACATATGCCCTCAGTTTGTCCACGTAGACAAGAAGATTCAGAGTCAAAACACATTTTATACCTAGATTTTCTGCTGGACAGTCTATAGCTCTCACAGAGGCTTTTAATCATTACTAACAGAAGTCTTGCACTATCCCAGTCCCTTTACCCATCTATTCCATCCCTCCCCACAAGCACTTTTAAGAAGTCCTACTGCACCAGGCCAGGAGAACAAGGCTGAAATAATTCACAGAGGATCCAGGAATTAAGCTCATCTTCTGAAGGGTTTGAGAGCCAGAACAGGATTGTTAACATGCTGCTGCCCCACAAGAAAAGAAAATCCAAAGCAAAACACACACAGCCCTCCCTGTTACCCTATGAATACCCTCCACCATAAACAGGCTGACAGAGAGAAGCTCTGCTCTTTCACAGTCCATATAAGAGAAAACTTAGAAAGCCCGGCAACAGGAGAACACCAAAAGCTGCTGCAGGCATCTGCTCGAACAGTTAACTCTGACACAGCTCAGATTCCCAAACCCACCTGTGTCTATATCAATCTACCAGATTCATATAGAGGATCCTATTCCTCTTTTCCTTGCAGGAACATGCAGCGAGAACACCGATGATGTACATGGAAAAGAATTGCTCCCTATGTCAACTCTTTACTCTTCCTACCCTACTCTGAGAGGAAAAATACATATGTATTTTTTATATTTTCACCTCCTTTCTTCTCTTGTCCAGATACTGCTTTTCCCCAGAGATCCTTCTTACTCTTTGCTCCCTCTAGTACTTCATCACCCCGAGCAGGGAAACTTTTGCAGGAATTGTTAAGCCCTTCCTAGTCACCTCCTCGTAGGCTTATGAAATAGGGAAGACATCTTTTCAGGCACTGGGGCCTCATGGCTAAGGCCAAGGCCTTTTCAGACTGAAGCTGCAGTGCTCCCATGTTAGTTTTGCCCAGTCCAGGAAATGTTATTTCTTCTGTCAATGAGCTAACTACAAAGCATTCACTCCAATTTGTATCTCAAGATGACTAAAAAGGAAACCCACAACAAGTGAGTGTGGCAGGCCCACCAATTTTTTTTTTTTTTTTTTAATTTACGCCAGTCACATGGGGCAGGAAAACTCCCTTTACATTATGCACCTACAAGAAAGCTAACAAATCACCCCTCTGAATATGTTCAGCCTGTCCCATGCTATAGTCTATTAACGCTCAATGTCAGCAATTAAGACTCCAGCAGGGTGGAGCAGGAAATCTCTGCCTTTCAGTAACAATGACAAGGTCACTAAAGGAAGAAAAGGACATTCATAGCAAGTCCCCACTCCTCTTGGCAGCAGTGGAAACACTATTCAGGTCAGAGGTGAAGAGCAATAAAACTAGGGCTCACCTTACAGAAGCTCTACCATGTAGCCTCATGGAAGGCTGAGCACAGAATGCATGAACTGAGTGGGACAGACCGCAAAGCAGATAGGTAAGCGGTTTGCTAGAGAGGCCTATCCAGAGACTAGGCTGTGACACATCAGCTCTCATGTTACATAGCTAGAGAACTTCCCATGTTAAGACTAACACGTTAAGGCTGCCCTCACATGCACACCACAGTCATGCAAAACAGTCTCTCAGCATTTTTCATGATGCTTCAGAGAGTCCCAACAACCTCAGCATGCAGTGAAGGATTTTATGGACAGGTACAGCCATAACTGGGAAAGCAGCACAGTGTCAGAACAGGCTTAGTGAAACAGGAGCTGAGCCCCTTCACATATCTCCAGCTGCAGACATTTCCAGTTTGAGCTCACTAACTACACTAAACTCTGCCATTTGTTAACTCTGCCCCATGGGAGGCATCAATAATGGTATTATGAAAGAACGTTTCATTCAGGCCTAAAGGCAAGTTGATTTCACCAAACTTGCATAAACTGATAGGTAGAACATCTGTGCCTCAAGCCCTGACAACTTATCAGAAGGATAAAGTAGTAAGTTTTCCAGCTGCAGCAGTATAATTTAACAGGCAAGCTTGAGGTACTGCACACTAAAGAAAAATCTAACAATTGTGCATCTGCCTCAGAGGTGTTTTAGCTTTGCTATCCACAGTGCTTTCCCAGCTACCACACAATTCCCAGAGCAATTCTTCACCCCCCATCAAGGGATGACTTTACCTTTAAAGGTTCAGCCACAAAGTAGCACTACTACTTTGAGTACAATTCTTACCAACACAGAACCCACCAGGACAGTCTGCAGCAACAGCATCTCAGACTCTTATAAATAAAGAGTCACATGCTAAAGCTGTGCTGTCATACAGCAGGATTGCCGATATACTATCAACCCAGCCCATAAATGCACCCTCTTAAAGCCTCTGCAAGGCCCACATTCCACATTTAGACACCATATATCTCTTCAGATTCATCTGGGTCCAAGTTTATATCCCACCATGGATTCTTCTTGCCAGACAGTCTCAAGAGCAGCAGAGCCCATTTAATAAGAGCAAGGTAGGCTAGCGCGACCACCCCTGCATCAGCCTACTGGGCACTTACCTACCTCTGTGGCAGAGCCTCACCACTCATGCTAAACAGGCTGAGAAGAAATGGCAGTTTCAGACTTAAGTAACCAGCCTGCCAAACCTACCCAGACTTCAGCCAACCATGAGCATCACCAAGTGCTACTCCCATGTTACACTAGACACCTGGAAGAGAAAGATAATCACTCACATTACAAGAGGGACACCCTGAGCATACCACACCTAAACAGTAAAATCAGTCAGAAGCAAGATTGAACATACCTGGCTGCCGAGACCTCATACAGCAGCATTTATCTGGCAAGATAAAGACTGACAGAGCTGAGAGCAGCAATCCTTTCCATAAAGTTCAGAACCTCTGTAATCATTTTAGAAGTTCGGGTAGTAACAGAGCAACTGCTGCAGGAGCACAAATATTTTCTAGTTCAGACAACACAATTCCTCTATCCAAAGCCACCCATTCTAGACAAGAGACAAATGATTTACTGCTAAGACACCTAGATGAGCTAGGCTTTAAGTTCCTGTCTGCAACTGCAGATGAGCATATCCAGCTAGGGACAAACAGAAACAGCACCTTTGGTTTCGCTGGCTAGTTTGTCAGCTTTACTCATCATTTACCAAACACTTTATCTGGTCTCCTCTCCTCCTCCTTACTTCCTTCTGCTGGCCATTCTGTTACTAATGGAGCTATTGGCGAAACAGGACTACATCGAAGGTCTCATGACATGCCCAAGGACGTCCTAAGTTTCCATACCTTACTTCCAGGACCTTCCTAAAATCAGGGAAGTCCTTACCTTTAGCAGCATGCAGCTTCCAAGTGAGGCAATCTTGCAATGTGGTTTGAAGTAAACAGTCAAGGATGCATTGCAGGTTGGACACTTGCAACTCTTTAGTTCCCATTATAATTATTCTTAGTTCTTTGTCTTTCTTCTCAGCTTGTATGCTGAGAAACAGATGTGCAACAATGCTGACAGAATTTCTTACCTTTCAGAAGCCCAGAGAGGAAAGGAGTTGTTCATGTGCTGACAGCATCAGAGGTAGATAGGGAAAAGAAAAGCCTTGATGCTCTTAAGACTAGAGTCCTGACTACTGACAAGCTACAACACGTTACAAGAAGCCTTCAACAGAGCAGAGCTTCCTTCTCCAGCATGCTGCCACCTGAAATCCTAAAGGAGGGCAGAACAGACCTCTTTCTTTGAGCATCAGGAAACAAAAGCTTTGCAGGTCAGAAATGGGCTTGGCAATTTCTACATCTCCTCCCCCATGTTTCTTAGGCCCAAAAGGGAAGGGGGGAAAAAAAAAGAGAGAGAGAGATTGAACCATGGAGCTGCTTCCAGGCAGCTCTCAGAAAAGCTTCCAAGCAGAGGGACAGCCACTGGAAGAAAGAAGATGGAATAAAACTCAGCAACTTTGTCCTTTGCTATTTAGAAGTAAACAGCAATGAAGCCAGGAGCCAGAGAGGTCTGACCAGCAAACTCACATCCTTACATTAGGCGCTTTTTTTTTCCCCTCTCCTTTCTCCAATAAAGGAAACCCTGCTGGGGGATAAAGTGTCTTCTGAGGTGAAGAAGTGACCATGTTCAGTCTAAATAGTGGATGAAATAGTGGAACAGTGGTTGCCAACATCACTTCATTCTTCACTTAGTGGGATAGTCTGTGAACTCAATGTTAACAGCAAAGCAAGTTGGTTTTCCCACAACCATGCACTGACTGCATGCAGCATTCGGCCCCACCCAAACCACAAGACACAGCAGGATGGAGTAAGACTCAGTAAGACTGAGTAACAACATTTTCATTCAAGCTCATGAAAAGAAATAATCCCACCTACGCTACAGATAGTACTTGCTTAAACATCTTAATAGCCACCCCTTAAAACACTCTTCCTTTCCGGAAGGAAAATTGACAGCCCATTCTTGTCTTAATAGCCTACTGCAACAGCACCAGGTTGCTATCACACAAAGGCTGTCCTAGCAAGTACAGGCAAGAACATCCACACTATCAGAACCACCCATGCTGGAGACCTAGGTTGGCTTGCCCCACTTTCTGGCTTCTGACAGCACTTTCCCCAGCTGCTAAGAACTGAATGGAGTCTGAAGTTATCAGAATCATTGAAAATTGGAGCAGGGACCCATGTCAGCCTGACAGCTATGTCGTTATCAGATGACTCCCTACAAAGATGCAAACCAGAGAAAAACATCTGTGTCAGCTTATAAGTTATGAATGTACATGGTCACAGGCTTCCAATTCAAGATTAATTTCTTCTCTGCGATAGAAAAAATGCTTCACGGACAGGGCATCACAGCTTGTCTTAGAAAAATACACCTGCCTTATTCCAACAGGACACCAAGAAACACTTCCTCTTACTAATATTAAAGTGATTGAAGTAACTGTTAGTAACTACTGAAGCTAAGAGACAGCAATAGCATTAGCTTGGAATAGCCAGAATAGCTTCAGGCCCCTCCTCAGTTCCTGGAGGAGGCTATTCAACATTACACTCCAGCACTGAGAAGAATCACACAAGACAAGGTAAACAACTGTTTTCAGCTTGGATTTTGTGCACATTGAGTCGCTCCAAGATCATCCATGCTTTAAAGCTTTGTTCACTTTGAGTCTACTGTCTTGCTTTCTTAATGTCTTGTTTGATACTTCAAAGCCCTGCTCTGTCCACCCTTTCTGTTTTTGGGAACACAGTTGTTTACCTTTCTTATTCCTCTCACTTCTCTCAATTGAATTTTCTTTCCTCTTAACCAGTTCATCATTTGGGTGTTGCCAGAATTGTTTTCAAGCTTGAGAAGACATCAACTATCAGCCCAGTAGTATTAGCCTCAGCCTGCCAAGGAAGAGGATATAAGCACATGTTCACTTATTTATCCCATGCCCTATAAGCCTTGCACCTTCAGGACCACGAGCTCCGAAACAGCGATGTCCAATGTACTGTAAAAGCAATGACTAGCTTCCAGTTTAGAACATTTTCTGACTGCCTTAGCCAATTTATAAGGGATGAATCGGCTAAGGTTTGATCTAGCCGAGACTTTAAAGGAAAGCTAGATAACCAAGTCCAGTACCACAGCTTTACTACACGCAAAGGTAGACTGTAGCTAGGAGAAACAGCCTGCAAATTTGTCAAAGTAAGAGCCATGTGAACTGCCAAGGTAATTTTATAATCAAGCATTAGCAATATTTAGCACACAAGGAGAAGGAAGCACTATTCAGTCATGACCCCACTGCCAAAATAGTTTTTTATTTCAAATGCAGCTCAGTAGCAGCAAGAGCCACGTACAACCCAACTACATCAACCAGATTTCAAGCTACAATACAAAACACATGCACCATCAACAATTTAAGGAAAAAGCTGCTTGGAAGCTTTCAAGATAGCCTATTCAAACCACGTAAGGTTAGGCAGTCACACTCACGTTCAGGAGCACAGTGCATATGTTAAACTGAGGCTAATTCTCAAAACACTTAGAAACATGCAGGGAGGAGGCTCACTACATTGCAACCGAGTATATTTATGTTTAATCATTACCAACAGCTAAGCATCCCCTATATTAAGGGGCCCCCCACAACACACACAAACCCTCCCCTCTATGCTCCACCACCACTCCCGGACTTTGCTGCTCTGTTCTCTAGATACCAGTTAGGCTAAATTTAACACCAGAAGCGAGTTTCTCTTCTCCTTTAAATACTCCACCAAACAAAATCCTCCCTCAAAATGTGGAAGAGTTACATGGCAGCCTCTGTAATTAAGCCTGCCCTGATCAAACAATGACTTACACTTTTGAACTCTGCTGCTTATATTTGAAAAACCCCACACCACAGAGCTCCCTGAACCACAGACCATCTCTCTCCTCCAACATTTACTAGAATGTAATTAATCCAAAGGATTCAATAAGTCATAACCGGAAGGCTTCAGGTGCTCCCCATTTCAAATGGAAATATTAAGTTAAAGACTCTGCTTCGGCTCTGTTTTAAGGAACTATTTATATACTTTATCTTTGATCTACAGGAAAAAAGTTAAGATTTTCAAATCAGTATGGAAAACAAGGAATCGGTGAACTGCTAGAATGCCACCTAAAGCATTAGTTACACAAGCCTTAGGGATACTTATATTCTGGAAGCAACACACTGCACCTCTAGCTGCTCCGATACAGCCAATCTAGACAGCACTTCTCATGGTAGAGATGAGCAGGGAATTCTGCAATACCTTTTATCACTACCCTAATAGAAAACCAAGGAGAAATGGAGTTTCTTGCAACTGGTTTCTGACATTGCCTAATCAACACCCACATGGGAGATTAGTCAGTACATTCCTTTAAGTGCACGATGAAAAATTGTCTAGGAGCTGCCTATACAGCAATGCTAACATTGAGCTGCAGGAAAAGGAAGAACATCCACTGAACTGAACACTGCTTGCTACTTCTCAAGCGTACTCCTTTTACACGGCAGTCACCAGCCCATTTACTGAGCTGCAAGCAGCTTTCAAGTACCTACTGTTTAGTGCAATGAGAAGAATGAATTTATGCAGCCAGGAGTTAGACGTACATACAAACGTAACTGTTACGTTCTACTTTGTAGAGCGCTCAGTACCTTGTTTCTTCCCCCCTTCCCCATCCTCAAGCAGTGACTAAGGGCTTACAAGTTTTATTAGCCCACCAAAACTCCCCACATCACCCTCTGATCAACCACCTTTCTTCTTTGCTCCTTATCAGTCATCTCATCATCCCCTTGTGCTTTGCAACTACATTCGAGTAGTATCCCAGCAATTCCTCTGCTTTATCAATCCTCTCAAGAGCTGGCCTGTAGCCCTTACCCTGCAGCTGGGTTCTGCTATCTGCACTTCAGTCCTCTGTGCTGGAAGAGGATGACGTCCCTGTGTGCTGGATCCTGAGTGGGTGCTGAAACGTTGCATTCCCCACACGCCATGGGAACAGCTTCCCTAAAATGAAACAGAACTTATCAGCAAAGAAGGGAGAGCCAAAGAGACCACGTGACACAAGAGCTTGAGAAAGGATATCCAAGATGTAAAGAACAACTCAGAGGGTCACCGGAAACCATGAAGGGATCCCCTCAGAACTAGAGGGACCAGTTACAAACTCTGAGAACTAAAACTCCTAGAAGGAAGGATTCACCAACATCTGTTATTCCAGAAATATCAAAAAGCAGGTACTGCAGACCCAGCTGAAGGAGACACTGAATGCTACCATTATACTAAGCCTGAACTGGTAAAGCCAGATTAACCTCTTGAAAGGGAGAGCAGAAATTTTTAGAGGAGGAAAGGAATTACACAGCTCTACTACCTACTTTCTAGCCTGACAACTTTGAAATTAGAGGAGGAAAGGAATTACACAGCCCTACTACCTACTTTCTAGCCTGACAACTTTGAAATTACTTCGAATGCTACTGTCTGAAGTCTTTCTAAAGAGGTAGATCTTCCTTACCACTTCGGAGTCAGGCAACTGACCCCTTTCTTCTCTACACATATCTATCAGTATGCTCTTTCTGATACGGTTGCAGTGGAACACCATCAACAAGAATCATAACCATATTTTTGCTTTTTCCTGCCTGTTAGCATGGGAGAGCAGACAAGGGAGCAGATCAGGGCTCTGGGAGACCACCCAACCACTGGGCCTCCTAGCTATGCGGGAAAGGACTGCAGGGAGCTTTTAGTCAAGAAGAGAGAAAGCAGCATCGG